TGTTTGGCACCTTCAATTTGTCAGCCATACTATATTCTGACTTATCTTTACTAAATGTTAATTTTGTCATCTTTATTTCTATTTTTAAGTAATTAATAGACCAAAGTTTAAGTCCCGGCTTTTTACCATGGCTTTTGAGATCCTCCAACATCTATTTAAAACTATCCGATGATACTATATTACATAAGATATTATACATGAGGTCCACCTCGTCTATATTGATCTGCGTGTTATTCCCTGACTTTATTGATCATTTCTTTGTTCCACTTGACCTGGGATGATCCCCCTTTTTCTGTTTTTTTTATTACACTATCCCACCTTTTTTATAAAAAAAGTTTTATTGCCCTCTATATAGCCTTCTTGATCATAAACCTCATGATTGCCATAATTGGTACATATCATCTCATTTTATCATATATATATTTTTGCTATTGTTATTATCTTTTCACATAAACTATAAATTCCTTAATGTCAGGAACTATGGCTTATCATTATTGTATACCATAACATTTAAAGAGTGATGTGCAAATTGCATACAATCAAAAAATTCTGATAAAAATTTACTGAATTCTACTTTTAAGATTGATATTGCATGCATTTCTTTGAAAATAGTTCACAGAGGACATATATTTATCATGGCTCCATTTTTTAGTGTGTATATTTAAAACATTTTCTTACCTTGAATAATAATCTCTTGTGAAGATTCTGCATTCTGACTATCTAACCCTAACTTGAATACAAAAACATAATGTATTGATTAATTTATAAGGCATGCCATCATTTAATCAATAATACCCTTTATATGAAATTAATCCATATAACATTATACCCTTCATAGTTTTCTTCAAAGTCATTATATCTATTCCAAAGACACAGGAGAGTAAAACTTCAAAAGCAGATTTTTCAGCATTAGTGAATGCCACAGATATTATAACTTCAAACCCCAATCCTAAATAGAATTTTGGAAAAAAATGTTTAATATCATTTTTTTTCTAAATGAAATAAAGTCCCAATATCAATATCCACTTTCATTTCTTTGTGTCTATATTGAAACATCAGAAATGACAGGAAGATTAACTGAACAGATATCAAATAAATTATTGCTGTCCTGTTTTGTCTGAACACAGCTTTTGGCCTTAGGGAAGTATTTTCTTTTCTTTTGACAATTGAGTCCAAGATGAATCTGTTGGAGGCAGCCATGGGTCAAAAATGATCACAAGAAATTCTGGATTTTAAGTAACTAAAGCAATGTTTGAGGTGTGGCCTTAAATTTAATTATCCAGGTTTTTCCTAATATTCACATGTAATGTGTCTGGGGAGATCAAGTAGAGCAATTCTAGCCTTTGGCAAATGTATTAAACTAGAGAAGTATGTGTTTTCTTTAAATAATTTCAATACCTAAAATAGAGCAATGTGATCAAAATTTCCATGAAAAATATGGTCCTGATTTATGTGTGAATTGATAGATTGTACTGAATGATAAAATAACCAAATATTTTAATATAAAAGACCTAATTAACTTTAAGCTCAATTTTATTTTGTTACAATTAATATGTTATTTATTACACCCATTGGCAAATCAGTGCCTATATCTTTTAAGTTACGTCTTTCCTGTAAACTCTTCCTTAGAAAAGCAATACAAATATACTCCAAAGTCAAATATGGGAATTATATACACAATAATTGGTAGATATTTCTCAAACTCTCTGATACCCTTACATTCAATTTAAGGCAGTGAGTAAATATGAAATTTTATATTGGTAATACCATCAATGTTCTGTACCTTGTGCACAATAAGCTCTGGGTGTCAGCCCATTATTCTCATGTATTCATATGTTATCAGTTTAGGAGAAACAGAAGGGAGGTTGATGAGCCTTTACCTCTGGGAGTTTACATTTAAATAAGGTAGAGAACTGAGTATAATTATCAACAACATGTTTCATTTGTTTAGTGAAAATGACTCTTAATTTAAAAAAAAATTTTATTGATTTTAGAGAGGAAGGGATATATATACACATCAGTGATAAGAGAGAATTGTTGATCAGCCGCCTCCTGCAAGCCCCCCACCAGGGATTAAGCGCACAACCAGGCATGTGCCCTGACTGGGAATTGAACTCAGGACCCTTCAGTCTGCAGGCTGAAGCTCTTATCCACTGAGCCAAACCAGCTAGGGCTGAAAATGCCTCTTGAGCAAATATATTTATTTGTTGATGCCATTGATGGAGCTCTTAAAGAATGTTTTGCAAAGTTATTGATATTTTAGTTTTGTTTTGAATCTAGAAAATAGCCAGCCACATGGTGATGTGAGAAAGGGTGATGAAGGCAGAGGAAATAGTTGGAGCAAATGCACAGTGATGGGAAAGTGGGAGTCAATGGAGAAGGGGTGGGGATAATTCATCTTTGTATATACTGCAGACACACTGGGAAGGGACAATTGTAAATAAACTTGGAAAGGTGAGGTTTTTTTTCATTAAAATGTGTACAATAATTATTTAATTGGCCCAAAGAAATCCTCTTTGAATACTTTTGTGAGCAAGTGAAATTAAACAGTTTAAGAAAGGTATTCATGCAGTAGCCTGAGAAATACTACTTCCATGAGAAGAGAGAGGAAGAGAAAAAAAATCTACAACTGGATATGTTACTATCACAGATTATATATATCTCACATTAATTAAAGAGTACATGTATTAGGGGAAGAGTGTTAGAAATAAACAAAAATGCATACCCGTGTTATTTCAGAGGTTATATCTTTAAGGTTTGAAAATTCATTAATGGTGACTAAAAATGGAATGTGAACAGTTTGTTTGTTTGTTTTTTATGGAAGGGTAATGGGTTCAGTTTGCACACAGAAAGTTTGAAATTAAAATATTCTATCTAATTAAATACTAGTTGAGGGTTGAAGATTGGAGTATTAGCTTTTTGGGAAAGTTCAAACTGAAGATCCAAGGAGAAAAGGTAATTGTTGCTATTAATGATGCCTTAAAGAAGAAAGTAAAGGGAGGGAAAAATGAGAAAGGAAAATAATCACAATTTTCTTCTTCTTTCAACTATGTTACCTTTTTTTCTTCTTCCTTCCCTTCTATTGGTAGGTATGTCCATAACTTCCCCAAATTATAAAACCCCTGACCATGTGCCCAGAATTGTGTATTCCAAAAACACCACGCCATCTTTAGGTTCAAGCTTCTTAAAAGGGAATTCTCAAATTTCTTAACTTCGGTAATTTGCCTCTGTTGACTCCATTACCCATAAATTAAGGGTACCTAGAGAATGAGTGACTTCTACAAAGGAAAAGTCCTCTTCTGTGAATTCTCACTGGAATTACCATTGTTTAAATATAGTTATGTTACCTAATTAATCTAATGTCATTTTTTGAAGTTTCATGTTCCTTACTTCTCCTTTTGGTTGTTTCAGCTGACTCACTTCATAGTACCTTCGTGTACTGTCTACTTGATAATGTCAGAACGTGTGTTTAAGTTAAAAAGAGCTTTATTTCTAAAAATCTTGGGCAGTCTGGGCTGATGATGTAGATCTTCTGAGGGAGAATGATGTTTGCTTCTGTCACTTACCTATGAACCTTACACGTGACGCTGCTTTTTAGTTTAATTTCTTACATTGGGATTTCCCAAAGATCACCTGTTTATAGCTAAATCCCAAACATGGGATATGTTGAAAAAGTGGCTAATCTATTTAAGGAGAAACATTTTTCCTCTACACAGGCCAGAATGGTGGGTTCCAAAAACACAGTCCATCTCTTTAGGTTCTCATAAGGGAAATCTCAAATTTCTTAACTTCTGGAATTTGCTAAAGACAACTTCCCTTGTCATCAACCTTTTGCCAGTGGGCTGATTTATTCTTATCCTTCTTATAATATGGATTAACTTTATTCTAGTCCAGTGTTACCTGGGGTTCTGTAGCACCCCCTTTTCTAGATAAGCTTTGATCGAATATCTGTGCAATATATGCATCTTTGATTGCTTTGATCTATAAATTCTTAACTTCTATTTTTCAGAATTTTTCTTTGTTTTTTTTGCTGTTTTTTTTTCTTTGTTTGTTTGTTTTTGTTGTTGTTTTTTATCAACAGCTCCATTACTTTACCATGCATTTCTGAAAACAAGAGATAGTCAAACAGGGTTTTAGCAAGTAGTCACACTCACTTGTCCATCATTTTGTTAGAAACTAGAGACCCAGTGCATGAAATTCATGTATGAGTAGGGTCCCTAGTGGCTGTAGGCTGCCAGCCAGGGCCTCCCTTCGTTCTTCTCCGCCCACTGGTGGTCAGTGCATGTCATAGGGAGCATTTGAACTCCTGGTCGGTCAAACTCCCGAGGGGACATTTTGCATATTAGGCTTTTATATATATAGATAGATATACATCTTTCAATTTGGAGTAAAACAATTTCTAGATTCTTCATCTATTTTATGGAAAAATTTGGAAAAAATTTATTGAACATCTCATCTATTTATTGCCATTGTCCTTATTTATCTTGTCAAAATAAATGTTCACTCACCTTTCACTATGCAATGCTTCCTCTCTTCCCCATGTATGTCTTCTTGCATTGAAATATTTTAGTAGGTACTCAAAATTTTGTTAATTTATATTTTTAATGTTGTAATAACAGTGTAGGGTATACTTTTTGTAACAAGGTTTCAAATTTGGGGCAAAATATATCTCTAGCTGTTGTCTAATCAGGTAGCGCATATAAACCTAGCATGTAAATATGGAACAGCTGTCTGAGTGTGAATTTTCTCATTAATTGACAAACAAATTTCAAAATATTAGCTTGAATGAGTTCTTTATTTGGTCTGGTTGTAGAAGTGCATAATAAAATGTAACATTTTGTTGTTAGATCATATTTTACAAAACTTTCATTTCTCTTTATGGGCAATAAAAATTGAGGTAAATAATTTCTGTTTAAATAATGTGGTTATAGATCATGTAGTAAAATCTTAGAATTCATGTTTAAAACCATAATTAATTGTCACTCAAATATTTTTTTCAGCTCTTCTTCAAGTGACAATTTCACTTAGCAAAGTAGAGCTTAGTGTGGGTGAATCAAAATTCTTCACATGTACAGGTATGTATTACAAATATTTTCAGATAATTTGTTTTATGCTTTAATTATTTAACATAATATATTGGCAAAATTTAAGTTGTGGCAAAACAATTCTCTAAAAATAAAGTCTTATCATTGGTTTTATAATAATTGGAAAAGTATCAATTATTATATTTTTCATTTTAAACAGAATGAATTTTATTTCTGTTAACTTTATTAATTTTGGATGTCAAACTAGATCATTTATTTGGAAAATAATTTATAATCAAATATAATGCATACATATTGATTTAAATAAATTAAAATATTATCTTAGGGTGAATGTAAATATTATAACTTTATAAATATACAAATATTTATAAATATACAATGAATAAATTAAATAAGGTACACTGCAAATAAGTTACACCTGCTGAAAGTTTTAGGACAAAGCAAATCAAATTTATCCTTATGAAAAGTGATTTTAAAAAATAGTTATTTAATCAGGAAAAAATTGCAAGATTTTTGTGACTAATCAAAAGTATCAGATGTCATAATGCTTCTGGGAAATTATATGGACCTCATTCAGTTTAATTGCACACATGCAGAATTTTCCAGAAGAGATTTAAATATTTAAATATCAAATTTTAATTCAGCACACTGTGGAAATCATGAATTGATACATTCTACTTATATTAGTGTCATCATATTAATTTTATTCATAAAACCCTTATCCTTAGTTTTTTTTTTTAAAAAAAGAAAACTTTGTTTTTAGTTTTAAAAAATATTCACTTAGTGCCTAAATGGCTTTCTAGAGTATTTTCATATTTTTTCTATTTCTGTTTCTACTTAAGCAATTCACAACTGGATTTAAATAGGATTTCCTGATATAAAATGCATTATAAAGTTATTTTGAGAATGACATCGCTTATTATAAACATTATTAAAAATATATACAGTTACAATAACATATGTATCAATCATATCCATAGTATATAAGCTATATAATATACTATAACTACATATACTATATATTTTAAATTATATTATATTAATCATATCTATGAAAAACTAATAGAGGCCATGAGTTTTTATACATTTGCCTTCATAAAGTTTAGAATTGATAGGTGTGTTGATACATATTTTTGTATATTGACAAATGAAAAGCAAGGGTGAAACGATTTAACATCATTTATTATGTCAGCAGATCATTGGTATAAGCATATAGGTCATTGTTTCTAAATGTCATCCGTATTTTATATACACAAATACACAGTTATATCCAATAATCACAGAAAAATTAAATAACTTAAAATTAATTTTTAGAAATTAAAGTAAATAGTATTTTTATTCAATTTGCATATTATAATAATATACTAGTAAATTATGTAATGTAATTGCCTCTGTATCTGCCACATAAAGTCAAATTAAGATAAAATTTAAAAGTATGAATTAACATAATTCAATGGTACTGAGTTTTGCTCTAAATAATAAGGTAAAATAACTAAACTTTTTTTTATATAAAGATGTATAACCAAGAATTATACTGTTATCATGGAAGTGTCCTTATTTTTGTTAAATATACATACTTGTGAAACAAGAGTCTAAAAATAAAGATGTGGGGAACCCGTGCAAATTAGAAAGCTTGCATGTATTTTTTCCTACACATTGGTGACTTTGGTGTCATGACTCTATAGTTTTATTGTACCCTAAAACACAGACACCTGAAACACAATAAATAAATATACCTGAAGTTTATGCAAGTTAGAATGGAGTCAGATCCTCAGAGAACTAAGAGTATGTCATATGTAGCAAAATGATTTTTATACTGTGTTTTCAAGAAAATAAAAAGTGTAATTGTATTTTTTAATTTCTCCAGTGGGTCACTCTTATCAGGAAAGTAACATGAAAAGTTTTATTGAAATTTATGAATTATTAGAGATGCCAGAAAAAAATAATATGATGACCAATCTATGAAAATCCAGAGTAAATTCTCCATAATAATAAAGTTGTATACCATATTATTAATAATAAAAATATACAAAATATTTCACATAATATTATCTACATTTTGCTGTATAAAATGAGATTTTTGTATTGTTCAAACTTATGCTCATTTACACTATTCTTTGGTGACATCTCTATGGAGTGGGAACTTGAAAAAAAAAAAAGCTGCCCTAAATGAGTTATCCTATAACTGCTATGGTATTTTGATGTGTTCAGAAAAACAGAAAATAACATAACTGAGATCCATTTAAAATGTAAACTTTCATGCTTTTGCTCTAGCATGTCTAATTTGATGTAGAAAGGATACTAATTTGTTTCTAAAGCGATTTGTTGGGAGAAAAATAAGAAGGAACAATTTTCTTCAAAGAGGTCCTGCAGATGTTAGCTAACTTTATGCATTTTCCGGGATACTTTTGAGTTAGTAGTGTATGCTGCTCCCACAAATTATCTCTCAAGCAATTAGGTGAAATACATCATTTTTGTGACTAAAAGCAAACACAGGAATCTTCAGCTTTTACAAAGAGGATAATAACCTAGATTCTGAATTGGAAAACTTAAATATATGTTTACCCTGTAATGCTTTGGTTGTAATTGCCTCGCAGGATAAGTGGCATTTCAATGCATTCTAATTATCATGTGACTAAATAGTTAACAGTTTTAGCTTAAAATTATGAAAGTACTGATTTTGAGAAAAGAGATTAGGGCCTCATATTAAAAATACTCATTGGTCATATCTGTACAAATAGAAAGACTTGGGATATTTATTCAAAATTCAGTATTAAAACAAAAGTTTATTTTTTATGAGGTTTACATTTTTATGAGCTCTGCTTTATCAGGCAAAAAAATTCTAACTCTTGACCCTAGCAAAGAGAACCAAAGAGGTGAAATCATGTTAGTACTCATGATTCTGTTCAGATATATCTGTCAATAATATATTTCTGACTGTATGGCCAAGGCAGTTTTATAATGTACCTTAGTGAAAATCCATAGATTACTATGGTAAGTATTCAATTATCATAGCTTACATGTTATACCTGATGTTTCCTATGGAACTTTTGGGTTTTGCTTACTCAAATGGGATTGAATCTTCAACATTGGATAAATAAGAGAACATGTGTTCTAACATTTGTGTTTACTCTCAATTTGGTAAGATTTTCAGATTTCCAGTCTTTCCCTATTTAACTTTTTTTCAAAATTGTTAAAAACTGTTACGTAATAAGTAAATGCCAATGCAAAAACAAACACTTGAATCATATTCTCAAACATTTCTTTTCCATGATTCTTTGCAGCAATTGGTGAGCCTGAGAGTATAGACTGGTATAATCCTCAAGGAGAGAAGATAATTTCAACACAGAGGGTGATGGTACAAAAGGAGGGTGTCAGGTCACGATTAACCATCTACAATGCAAATATAGAAGATGCAGGGATATATCGTTGTCAAGCAACAGATGCCAAAGGCCAGACACAAGAAGCTACAGTTGTTTTGGAAATTTACCGTAAGTCATGTATTTATTAGTTGATTAAAGTTGTGGTTAAAAATTAAACACAAAATAACGTGTGTTTAATAAAAACTAATAGGAATTAAGAACTATTGGAGTAGGCAGTGTTCTTTAGACCTTTACAGATGGCAGCTTATTCTATTTTACAATACTGCATCTCTAAAATAGAATAAATAAAAGGAATTAGTTAATCAACATATAGATGGAGACAATTATGTCAGTTAAATAATATAAATGAAAATTTTTACATTTTCTCAGGGCATTAAGAATCTGCTGGGTAAATGAAAAACAGTAGTTCATTTAGTGGTATGAAATACATGGAGTACTTTTTCACTCTAAAATAAAAGGTTATAATTAGAACCTGTGAAATTGCCGATGTGAAAGCAGTGACCAGTCTGGAATAGAACTGGGGAAGAGTCAGTGAACAGGAATAGACAGAGGAAAAGCTGAAAGCTCAACTAGTGTAGACGGATATCTAGCCAGCTTCTGCACCACCAGGCCTTTTGTTAACAAGCATCTCCATGCATACACTTCATTTTATGATTTGAAATTCATCACTTCTTTTCCCCTTCTCACTCTTAGGAATCACTACCCTCATTAAGAACACTGTTGACTATCTGGGTTTGAAACCAGGCTGCATCACTTCATTTAGTGGTCTTAAGCAATCACCTAACCCATCTGTCTTTAGTTTCTTCACCTATAAAATGGGTATAATAATAGTACCTACCTCATACATAGATTTTTTGAGGGCTATATTAATATTACATAAAGAACGTAGAGCAATGCCTTACAATTAATATGTGGTAGTTAGCATTTCTACCAGTGAAAAAATTATAAAGATTTTTGAATACTAGCTTATAAGGTATCGCTTCTTAGAACTTTGTTTTTTATTATTCCAGGAAAAGGATTTTTTTTTTAAAGCCAAAGTATATCCCCAGCATGGCTTCCTCTTTGATGAGCAGGGGGATTGTTGGCACATTGTCGCCCTTGTTTTCTTAATTTGGCCTCTCCCCCCACCCCCATTAGTTTCTAAGCTCATATTTGGAAATATTTTTTTCTTTTTTTTAATCTTTATTGTTGAAAGTATTACACAAGTCCTCCTTTTTCCCCCATTAACCTCTTTCAGCCCACTCCCACCCCCCCCCAAGGTCCTTACTACTCCATTTTCTGTGTCCACAGGTTATGCATATATGCATACAAGTAAGAAATAGTTTTCTTACTTTATATGTTGCAAAGGAAGATCCACAATATTTTATTTGTGAAAATAAAGAAATCTATTTTTTTTCCTCCGCAAAAACACTGAATTACTTTTGTGAACATTTCTCATCAAGCACACATAGCCTGTTCATTCACTAGTTGGCCACATTTATTGGATGTCTTCAACATGGCAGACAATATTCTGAGTTCTATAGACTCAGTAATGATTAAAACAGGAGATGTCACCAACCACTAGGTGCTGATATTTTAGTAAGTAAGCTTTGAAAAAATGCATAGATGCTACTATCCATGGTATAGGACAGTGAGAGTGGGAAGGAAGATGGCTTTTTTTTTAAATATTTGGAGGTCAGGCAGGCAGAAATGGGAAGGAATTTAAGACATGCAAATGCGGACTGTTGAAGGAATTGAAAAGATGACAATTTACCTGGAGCACGGAGTGCAGGAAGAGAGAGAAATTGGGATCAGAGTGTGGGACAGACTTCATTCAGTTCATACAAGACCTGGGGTAGGATTGTAAGGACTTCAGAATTTCTTCTCAGCGATGTGGGAAGAAGTTACCAGGCAGAGGAGTCATATGATCTGATTTAAGGTTTTCCATGATCCTGTTTTGATTAACTACTTCATTATCCCATCAATCAACACAGATTCTGGAACAGGTTATTGAGAGAAATAAGCGATAATACTTTTATGGTTTGTTTTGCTTTCTTTATACAGAAAAGCTCATTTTCAGAGAAGTGGTATCACCTCAAGAATTCAAACAGGGAGAAGATGCAGAAGTGGTTTGCCGAGTTAGCAGCTCGCCTGCACCTGCCGTCAGCTGGTTGTACCATAATGAGGAAGTCACCGCTATTTCCGACAGTTAGTATTTTGGTAACTCCCTACGTTATATGTTCTAATAATATTGCCACCTTTTCAAAAACTGAATCTACCTGACCAAATATGGAAGTTGGAATTTTTTTTAAATATATTTTTATTGATTTCAGAGAGAAAGGGAGAGGGAGAGAGAGATAGAAACATCAATGATGAGAGAGAATCATTGATTGGCTGCCTCCTACAGGCCCCCTACTGGGGATTGAGCCCACAACCCAGACATGTGCCCTTGACTGGCATGGAACCTGGGACCCTTAAGTCTGCAGGCCAACTCTCTATCCACTGAGTAAAATCGGCTAGGGCATAGAAGTTGGAATTTGTGACCCTAATTGTCAATTGACTATTTTGAGAACCTTAAAGTTGTATATCAAGGGTGGGCAAACTATGGACCTCAGGAAAAATTCAGGCCTTTTCTGTTTTTGTAAGGTGTTATGAGAGTACAAATAAGCTTAATAGTTACATATCATATACTAGAGGCCTGGTGCACCAAATCTGTGCACTTGGGGGGGGTGTCCCTCAGCCCAGCCTGTGCCCTCACAGTCTGGGAGCCCTCAGGGGATGTCCAACTGCCACAGAGGCGGGAGAGGCTGCTGTGGAGATGGGAGAGACTCTCACCAGCCATGAGCCTGGCTTCTGGCTGAGCAGCGCTCCCCCTGTGAAAGCATACTAACCACCAGAGGGAAGCTCCTGCATTAAGTGTCTGCCCCCTGGTGGTCAGTGCACAACATTGTGACCAGTCGTTCTGCCATTTGGTCAATTTGCATATTAGGCTTTTATTATATAGGACTAGAGGCCTGGTGCATGGATTTGTGAACTGTTGGGGTCCCTTGGCTTGGCCTGTGGGGATTGGGCCGAAACCAGCTCTCTAACATCTCCTAAGGGGTCTTGGATTGGAGAGGGTGGTTTTCGGGTGATGCACCCTGGAATCAGGCTCCCTCATCTCTGGTTCTGTGTGCATCACCCGAGAACCACTGCTGCCAAGTAACTGCAGCTTGGCAGTTCCTGCATTGAGCATCTGTCCCCCTGGTAGTCAGTACGCATCATAGTTACCAGTCAGACTGTTGCGTAGGCTTTTATATATAGAGATGGCTGTTTTGAGCAGCTGTGACACAGGTGGTTTGACCTACAAAGCCTACTATAGTTATCATCAGGAGATTTACAGAAGAGGTTGCTGGCCCCTGATCTATTCAAGAAAAAAAATTACATGCCAATAGTACAAGGATACTAAGTAAATTAAGGAATTAATCCTGATGCATTCAAATTCTACATATTATCATTCAAACATGATTCCATGGGCTCATTATACTTAAATTGAAAGTAACATCTATATGAATCCTGTTTATTATTCTGGCACTGTTCTTTCAAAGCCACCTACGTGTTTTAAATATTATGGTAAGATGCATATGGATAATAGGAAGAAAAGTACATGCATTCAAATTGTCTTTAAGATTTTGATTCAGACTGAGCTAAAATCTAGATTAATACGACATCTGATATTGAAAGCATAATTTGCTTACATTATGCTGCTTTACCACTGTGCGTTGGGAGCATTTTCAATTTAGAATAGTTTTCAATGCACCTGCATTTCAGAGAGATACAAAATAATAGAATCTTTTAAAATACTTTCCCTCTTGGATGATTTTGTTTTGTGATTCTGAGATTTGAACTTTTACAACATAAAGGAAAGAAAGCCGAATATCTGTTTTTGAAAATAAACAGAGAATGTATCATAATTATTTATTAATCATTTTTTTAATTTTGAAAAAAAATTGGACTTTGATATTTTTAAAAAGCTGACTAAAACTCTTCTATTATAATGTTAGTAAAAATAATACTTTATTTCCTCTTATTTTATTTTAGGATAACTGCTTCAGATTTTATTAACAAGCTACATGCATAAATTAGGCAATATATTTTCAGCTTTTTGCCTCTCAATAATAAAAAAAAGGTAGTTCTTTTATGGCAATTAAATGACAATGTCTAAACATTTTCAGATTGCCTAATTGGGGGCTTCAAGTGTGCATCTGGTTTATTGTAAACCTTCATTGTAAAAAGTATTTGAAATAAATTGCACTTTTTAAAAGATGCCTAGAACAAAAGCCTTGAAGCAATGACTGATAGTCAAGTGTAGTGTGATGGAGGAGTGATACCTCTAGGTTAAAGCTTACACTTTTTTTCCTGGATCCTAGGATTGAATGATGAGAAGCTTGGATTCCTTTATGGCAACACTCTTTATTTATTTATTTTTTTGCCCTAAAGCTTAGAACAACTTTTCTAACTGGTCTGTACCTCATTCAGATTCTTCATCGGTAAACCCTGGGCTATTATATCCACTTTAAATAAGACACTAGGCATATAATAAATATTTGTTCAATGAACAAACAAAATATTTGTCACTATATTCATTTTTCAATAAATGACATTTTTTTCTCATTCCTTCTCATTGATGTTTTACATCTTGGGAATCAATTTTACCAAAATTATATGCGTTCATATTATATAAAAAATCAGAATATCCAATGTGGATGAAGTTATTAAACTAGATTTAAAAATGAAATGTAACCCTGAATTGCATGGTAGGAAAAATTTTTTTAAAGAAAAAGGACGTAATGTTGCTTTCACTGGAGGACATAAAGGGTGTAGATGAATTGTGAGGAAGGACATACTTTTCTAGCCTCTTAATATCAGAGGAACATTTATTATCCAGCAATGTGTATGTTTATAATGAATTTTCAAGAAATAATACTCTCGCCTTAACCGGTTTGGCTCAGTGGATGGAGCGTCGGCCTGCGGACTGAAGGGTCCCAGGTTCGATTCCGGTCAAGGGCTTGTACCTTGGTTGTGGGCACATCCTCAGTAGGGGGTGTCAGAGGCAGCTGATCAATGTTTCTAACTCTCTATCCCTCTTCTTTCCTCTCTGTAAAAAATCAATAAAATATATTTTAAAAAAATAAATACTATTCTCCATCTGGTTATACCTCACGTGGTCTCTTTATTAAAGCGACTGAAATAAGATTAGGCTCACAACTATGAAAGGAACAGGTATGGGGATTTAGAATAATGTAGTGTGCCCAGGTAACTTCCTGGAGCCTTCGTATGGTACAGGAGTAAAGTCTAGAGTCTCCAGATGAAACCATGAAGACTTGGAAATGTCCATCTCCTTAGCTGTGCTATTGGTAGGAGGTGTGTGGCAAATGCTCAGAGTTAAAATTCCAACGGAATATTTAAAGTGGAGTTTTCTATGTTGTTTGTTGAAAGGAGATTCATATGCTAAAGAATCCAAGCATGTAGGGAATAAAGGTGACATTTTTGTTATAAAAGTTTAATATCCTGACAATCATTGTCACTCTAATAGAGTAAAAGAATTAGATTATCTGGTTTAAGGTTTTCAATGATCTAGATTTAACTAAGTATTTTATTATAGCATAATTAGTGCAGATTCTGCAATATGTTATTGAGGGAAATAAGCAACGACTCCTTTATCTTTGTTTTACAGAAAAACTGGGCTATTGCTGATGCCCATTCAACCTCAGTCAGTTTGAATGTTATCTCTGAAACTTTCTAAAATGTTTTGATTATTGCCTAACAAAGTGCCCTTTCTGCATCATAAACTACAGATAAAATCATACTGTTCAATAAAACGTTTATGTATTTTACTTCCAGTATAAGATTCATTCAATAGTTATTGAACACCTAGTCTTCAAAAATTAGTATGCTACATCATGGTTATTGATGGTTAACAAGGTAAATAAGTTCACTGGCTTCAAAATACTAATAATTGGTAGAAAAAATAGATAATTCAGTGAAAACAAGGTATGCTGCTCTCTATGATAAGTAAAGTGCAATAACAGAGGGTGATAAAAACAAAACAAAACACCTAAACTAGTTCAAGCAGAGAAGGGTTTCCAAGATGCCTGCAGAGAGAGAGATGTGACCTTTAAGTATGAACAGGTAAAAAGTGGTGGAGAGAACAGCACACACAGTGGTCCAGTGGTGAAAGACAGCATGAATGGAACTTTTCAGAAACTAGAATCTGTTCATTACATATTCTAGAATTTATAAATAGTACAACTAGAATACATATACTAATAAAGTTAAGGTATTATTTGTTAATGAAGGGCTAATAAGAAAGGAATCTGGAAAGGTTATGCCAAATCAACACAGCCTTGACATATTGGCTAAGGAATTTGGAATTTTTCCAAAGGGGACATGACTGAAGGATTTAAATCAAGGCAGTGACATGAGCTGACATATATTTGAGAAGATTATTAGTGATTCAGTAAGGAAGATGAATTGGCTTGGAGTCAAGGAAAAACTAGGTTCTGAGAACAATTCAAATCCTAATGAAATAACTGCTGGTGGGAGAAGGAGATTGTGACTAAGAATGATAAAGGGAGGTGTAATAGGACATGGGATTTGATTGATATGCAGACTGAGGGAAATGGAGAAGTCAAGGTGGATATAAGACATTTCACTTGGGCAAATAGTTCCATGACTTATATTTACCTTGGGCAATTAGTTCAATGTAAAGACATTTGAAGACAGAGCTGGGGAGTACCATATGATAAATTTCAGGTGGCAGTAGTGAGCTAAATTTTAAAAATGGTGAGATTGAAGTACTTACAAATCTACTCAGTAGGTACATCTGATAGAATGTTAAATAGTTCTGGAATTGACATATGGTCTCGTCCAGTGGTCGGCAAACCACGGCTCGCAAGCCACATGCGGCTCTTTGGCCCCTTGAGTGTGGCTCTTCCACAAAATACCACGTGCGGGCGTGCATATACAGTGCGATTAAAACTTCGTGGCTCATGCGCAGAAGTCGGTTTTCGGAAAGGAGATAGATGAAACAAGTATACAAGATGAGTGTGGATGGGAGAGTTGGAAGGGGTCAACCTCAGCGAACGTACCTCAATCAGATTGAGGACGTTTTTAGCAAAGGCCAGCTTAGGAGTACCCTAATTAAGTTAATAACAATGTACCTACCTATATAGTTTAAGTTTAAAAAATTTGGCTCTCAAAAGAAATTTCAGTCATTGTACTGTTGATATTTGGCTCTGTTGACTAATGAGTTTGCCGACCACTGGTCTAGTCTGAAGAAAAGGTGAGTCTCAAAATATAGATGGTAATTGAGGTCAGATGAGTAGATGAGACAAGCCATCAATGGCTATGGGATGAAAAGTAAAGAGGACTTAGTAAAGAATCTGCTTAAAGAATCACAAAACAAATACCTTATTGGGTATTATCTCATTTCATTTAATACTTATAGCAATAATGTAAATTTCGGTTTCTGTATTATTGAGAAAAATCAGTTAATTTCTAACAGTTATTACTTCTAATATCCATAGTTAATGTGTGATTGACTGAAACAATGCTCTCCTCAAATGTTTCTGCAAACACATAGTAATGATCTACTTTGGTTTAATAGTTTGGTGACACCATTGAATAGGGACTTTATACACATAGTAACAATTTGACATCCAATTTTCATGTAGTTTGCTTTCTGGATGGAAAAATTGTATGTAATTAAACATATACAGTAGTATGTATTCATTTGGATTTAGAAGATAATACCTAGTTTCCTAATATTCTAAGTTTTGTCTCAGACAGTAGAAATGATCTATGAAGTGGCCATTTGAAAAATAATTTTTCAGTTGGAAGGAACATTGATTTATTTCCATTGAAATATGTATTACGTAGATTCTAACTCTTCTTTCTCTGTTTAAACAAGCATTGCTTTTCTCATTAAAATGATGCTGCCCCTTACTATTTTTCTTAATAAAATCAAATCATTCAGTAACATTATAGTTAAAAGATTATATTTTAATAAGTTAGAATATATGGTAATAATATCACACTGATCTAAGAATGATTAGTGCATTCTCTCTGAATTTGAACTTTTTTACTTATAATTGCTTTTCATTTTAATATCCAGCCACATGCTTGAATCAAGGATCTGTTACTTGACTTTCAAACATTATGAATTTTTAGGAGTTCTGAGTTACTGTGTTATTCTTTAAAATTTCTTGCAGATTGACTTTCTTTCTCTCTGATATTTCTTTTGATGAGAATATTCACCAGGGGAAAACATCTCCATAAATGCTTTTTTCTCTCTTCTTGGAGTCAACATAAGAAATAAACATTATTTCTTCTCCTGGCCTGAAAGCCTTGTGTCTGTAGCTTTATAATCAATATTGTTTTTCTCTGAGGGAGCCTCTGAACCAGCACATTTCCGTTTTATATTAATTACCTCTTGCTTGCCTGTTTCAATGATCTCCTGTAGTCTGATCACTGCCCTATTTGTAATTATATCCCAAACTTCTCCTCTTGCACTAAGGATTCGCTGTGGCAAATGAACCCCAAATCTGAGTTGAATCCTAAATCACCTAATACTATAGCTGTTTATTTCTCACTCATGCAAAGTCCAGGTGGCATCAGGGGTACATTCAATAACTGATGCATCTATTCAGGAATCCCATCCAGGGCTGATTCCTGATTGGATGCATTACTTTACCCTTTTCTCATGTGGCTTCCATGTTTGCCTTAATTTCCTAATCAAGCCATCAGGTAGGGGAAGATCAGTCACCATTGGAATAGCTCCAAAAAAGTAACCTTTAAGAGTTTAACAGGCAATATCCTAGAGGCGTACACCTTAAAATAATAGCATATCTACTTTTCCAAAAGGCCCCATGATGTTGGAATGTATCTCTCTTACTCACCAAGGTATCTCAATTATAGTACCAGCAAATGAATGATGTTAGTTATATCTATATATGCATTAACTAATGGAATTTAGGTTATTGCTCCTACAGGTTTCAAAGTAGGACTAGATGTCATAACACTCTTAAATTGATAAGAAGGAACAAGGTCTTAACACTGCAACAAAACTGTGATGATTAAAAACTGAAGCCAGATATGGAAAGTACTGACAGGCTGAGATGCCGCTAATGATAGCCAGATTATTTTAAGCAATCACTAATGCATGCTCTATAATAGCTTACTTTTACATGAATGCATGTGCACACAATACACATATAAAGGAACCTTAAAATAATATTAATGAAGTCTAATCTATTCATTCCTAAAATGGATTATCTTGCATTTAGAAAAAAAGAAAAGCCTTCAAGTAAATTCAAGATATGACCATTATACATGTCCTCTATGTGACTTGAATATTATTATATCATTAAGCTGCCTCCTCAGGGTCTGCAAAATTATTCCTTTAATTATTGTGCGAGGAAGGATATTCAATCAATTTTCTAACCGTTTTCCATACCCAAGTTGCTTCATACAGTATTTGCAGTCAAAACGTTTTCATGTTTGCAATATCTAATCTGCCCACATTGTTCTTTTGTGGATCATTTCTGCATTCAAAGTACCAAGGGGAAAATAATAGCCTAACCATTTTATGTAGAAATAAAATCTTGAATGCATTTTAGAGGAAAGGTGTAACAAGTCAGTGTGGAGTGGAAAAATTGAAGTCACAAAATTACATTTTACTTTCAAATTTGGATTTGTTTGTTGATGAAATGTTCGATAGTGTCAGACAAGTGCCATATTTTTAACTCTTGGCAATTTGGAGCACACTGGACTCTGCCTTCAATTACTGATATAATTTCCTCCCTTTGCTTACCTTCCAGATCGGTTCGCCATGTTAGCCAACAATAACCTGCAGATTCTCAACATCAATAAAAGCGATGAAGGTATATATAGATGTGAAGGAAGAGTGGAGGCTAGGGGTGAAATTGACTTCCGTGATATCATCGTTATTGTAAATGGTAAGCAGAGAAAAATTTGTACATATTTTATTGCTTTGTTTTGGCAAAATGTTTATTAAAAAGGCTACCATGTAAACTCAATGCTCAAGAATTCTCTAATAAACTTCTATGCGTAGAGGAAATATTCTCACCTCAATGATAGCATCTGGTATATGTATTATATTCTCAAGGACAGGATCCACGACTTATTTAACATCATCACCCCTCTCCTAAAATATCTCTGAGAAGATAGTTGCCTTTGCTGACACTGTTGTTGTTGAAAGAATTCCAAATGAGACATCCTTAAGAATTATACTTTATTTTATTTTGATATTACATGAAATACTTGTTGCCGTTCCTTATAGTAATCCATTTGATAGTCTTTGCGGGCTTTCTCAAATTGAATAACTGAATCTATAAGCTTACCCTTTCAAGTATTAATGGACCTTAAAAACTAAATTTCTGGCATTATGATGGCATCCCCTTCATCCAAAATTGGTTTCTCCTGTTATATCCCCTGCCTGCATTACTGTGACATTCTCGGAGAACAACAGATATATTTATGTTATAATACATGTAATCTAATCTCTTATCAAGGCATGGCCGTTGTATTTCTTTCACATCTCAAATGTACTCTTGTCTCTGTAACCATGCCTTTCAACAGCTCTGCCTTTTCCATTTTTTCCCCTTGAATTGATACAAATTGTTTTCTCTACTCTCGGTCTCACAGTTCCAACTTCTTCTCCATCAAACCTTTCAACCCTTAAAATTTGCATGAGGTTCTCATTGTCTTCAAGACAAAAATCAAAGCCACTTTTCCTGGCAAAGGAAGTGTTTTATGGTCCAGTCTTTTCTCCCTAAGCTTTGAGCCATGAGCAACCTATGGCTCAGCCATATGGCAATACTCGTAGTAACACTACATAAATGCACTTTTATGTTTTTCTTTTTCTTTATAATACCAAGTAAATAATAATTATAATCACAGGATTCTATAAGAATAATATAAACTATTATTTTTATAATAGACAAGATATGAATTAAAGAGTTAGCTACTTCCTAAGGATTAGGGAAGAGACAGGGGAAAATAAATGTACCTACTTCCATATCTTCTCCCCGAGTTATCTCTCTGGTTTCTTAAAGAGACTGAGAACCCTAGAATTTTCACATAGATCTAAAAGAGTTACTTGGTCTGTCCTTTCCTGGAACCAAGGTAGTTTAACCACAATATTACTCTCAAAGAGAAAGAAAATATTGACTCGCTGCCATTTTTTTATCCTTCTCTATAATTAAATGGACTTTGTGAATAGCAATGGAATGGAATGGTACATGTGGTGTTGGAAATGGAATTCAGGCAAGGCTGGTAGAAACTACACATGCTCCTGGGGGAACCAAAGCACTAGCCTTTAGAGGAGATCTAGCTTTACAGGCCGTTTTTAGGCATGCAGCCTGGAAGACTATTTATTAAGAGTACCTCAGACTGTAATGGTTTTGACCTTCAATATAACAGGAATAGTTCAGTGCATGAAGATAGGTTTAAATATAGAGTTGTGTGTATGTATCTATATCTATAAGTACCTCTAATCTCTTTCTCTTTTTATTATACACTAGAGGCCCTATGCACGAAATTCATGCAAGAGTAGGCCTTCCTTCCCCCGGCTTCTGGCACCAGCTTCCCTCTGGCACCCGGGACCCAGGCTCCCCTCACAGAGGGAGACCCTACCCACCTGCCACAGCCTGGGCCTCCCTCTTTGGGGCAATCATGGAGCCCCCCAATTGATTGCCCTGCCAGCCGGTGGCCTGGGCCTCTCTCTGCCGGGCGATCATGGGGTGATGGCCGGGTCCCTGACCAATCATATTGCACCCGCCTTGGCTGGCCTGGCACCAGTGGGTGTTCTAGCATGGTCCCGGATGGTCGTTCAGATAGCCGTTCCACTGTTTGGCCGTTTGGTCAATTTGCATATTACACTTTTATTATATAGAATAATAAATAGAACTGACTTACAGTAGCTTTACTAACAGTAGCTATTCAGTTTGTTTATTATTGCCGTTATTCATTAATTCTTGTCTACTGTGCTTTGTTTTCAAAAGAATTGAAGGTGGCATATATAAGTGTATTTTGTCATGGGCAAATCCTTGTGCTCAATATTCTCTTATAAAAATGGGGATTATAATTTTAGTTTTATATATATATATTATATATATATTAAAGTTTTTTTTAAAATATATTTTATTGATTTTTTACAGAGAGGAAAGGGAGAGGGACAGAGAAGTTAGAAACATCAATGAAGAAGAGAAACATTGATCAGCTGCCCTCCTTGCACACCCCCCTCCTGGGGATTTGCCCGCAACTCAAGAGTACATGCCCTTGATCGGAATCGAACCCAGGACCCTTAAGTCCACAGTGACGCTCTATCCACTGAGCCAAACCAGTTAGGGCTATATATAAAGTTTTTAAGTGCCAAGTTTAAGATATGTAAATATTTGCTACTAATATGGTACACATTTATGTAAAAATTAAATTATGAACATCTTTTTTACACTAAAACATTAACTTGAGTCTGATATTAAGAAGGAAATACATTTGGCAGACATAGCATGTTAACCACTTGTATCCAGTCTGTGAATATAATTTCTGTTTTAATACATTTGTAACATGTTCTAATCTGTTTCCATAGATTACCTATGTTTGTGTATTTATGATGTCATTTATTTTGAAGGAAGGGTTAGTCGGGTATGAGCCCATCCAATTGACAAAGTTTGGATCATCAAGCCTTTCCTGGTCTCCATTCTATCTGGAGTTAGTTCTATAGGTTTATTTTATATTATTCCAAGGTTCACATGCGATAAACACTGGAATGTGTTCTTGAAAGTCACTCAGATCAAACATGTAGGTTAAGTTCTTTTTGTCTTCAACACCCTGACCCTCCCCAAAGCAAAACATTCTCCTTCCGCATCCTACTTTCCTCCAACAGAATCAACTAGAGAAGAACCTCATCTGACTTCTGCTTGAACATCGCTTTATCTCCGGTTCTAATTAGTCTCATTTTCCCTTTATAACCACAGGCTCTCATGCCTTAGAATTCTTGAAACCTCTTTTTTTCAAAATAACACAATAAAATCAACCATCGATTTATTCCTCTTCTGGATGAAGCAGTTGGACCCTGCCAAGGGATGGCATTGACTCGGGACCCCAGACATGTGTGCTTTCCCTCACATGCTGCCTTTACTTCAGCAGAAAATGATTCCACTCCAGTTTTATTGACTCTCCTGCTAACTGGCTCCTTTTAAATCTTGAGGTCTCCTTAATCAGCTTCCTGTATTTTTCTTTCTTATACAAACTCTTGAATATGTTCACTGAAAAGTTTGACACTGCAAAAATAACAATATTACAAAAGCAAGACTTTTATCCACATTACCTTATTTTTCTTGTTACATAATTTGACTCATTCTATGTCCTTCTTCCCAACTTACATTGCAAGTTTTCTCTCTTATTGCATCTGATGTGTTTTTTGTTGTTGTTGTTGTTGTTGTTGTTGTTGCTAAAAATGGGACAATATTATTCTGTATTACATGATGAATGTGAAAATCTCAGGATTGACAATATAAACAACAGTATGGCACATTATATTCTACTCTAATTACACATCATTGTTACAATTTAAAACAGTTTCATTTAGGTTTACAGAGCACATACATGCCTGTTTAACTAATAATAGCTGCTGATATTTACTGAACCCTCATTTTGTAACAGAAGGGTGGTGGGCACATAATGCAGTATACATATGATGCATCATAATATTGTGCATTTGAAACCTATATAATCGTATTAACACATGTCGCCCCCAATAAAATTAATTAAAATAATAATTTAAAAATAAAACAATAAAAAAGTGAGTGATTTGGACTACGTGCTGGAACTTATTGGTGACTCCCCTTCTCCCTGGCTAGACTGAAGTCTGACCAAATGCTCCATCCAGTTCACCATTTCTTCATGTCTACTATTTCTTTGCCAAATCCTGGCCCTGGAAGACACTCTGCTCTTTATCCTACTGTTTGCTCTTTGCATACTTTCCTTCACATTTTCTTTATTCTAATATGTACTCCATTTTTTTCAATAATTACCTGAAAGATATCCTTGCTAACTTCTATAGCACCAGCAAACTAAATGTTAAGTTTTTTAAATCCCCTCTATGGCTTGCTGTATTTCTCAATACCTGTGTATAGTTTTTCACAAATATGTATTCTCCTACGTCACTGCTTATTGCCATATGAAGTATGCTGCTACCTGTGGGAGGAGCATGCCTCTCACTCAATTGATGATGTGACTTGCTCTGGCCAATGGCATGTAAGCAAGCACAATATACACTGTGGCTGCAATCAAGCTGGGAGAAGTATCTCTTGCTTTTGAACTTGAGGAGATATATATATATATTGCTGAGGGTGGAATATATGAATAAAAAATGTGTGAGGATATGGATAAATTCACAGGTACATCTGGTTGAAAATTTGAGAGAAATCTTGCCACATGACTTTAATGTTTTATTTCTAATTACCTAGCATTCCTAATCTGGCAAATATTGATGTACTTTTAAAAGTTCTCAAATATTTTTCCATATTTTCATATGGTTATACATGCTCTTTTTTGGATTTTAAGGTGTGTTTTCAAAATGTCTAAACTTCTCTTTTTATTTTATTTTATTAACCTCTCAGTGGCTGCATTTTATGTTATAACATACTTTAGAATATATATATATATGTAGTATATATATATGTATACTATATATGTATACTAGTATACTAAAGGCCCAGTGCACAAAAATTTGTGCACTCGGGGGGGGGGTCCCTCAGCCTGGCCTGTGCCCTCTCGGGGGCCCCCTCGGGGGATGTCCACATGATGGCTTAGGCCTGCTCCCTGGTGGATTGGGCCTAAGCTGGCAATCAGACAACCCTCTGGCAGCCTGGGAGCCCTCGGGGGATGTCCACTTGCCAGCTGGGAGCAGGCCAAAGCTGCAGTCAGACAT